CTCATCTCCTCTCTCTTCTCTCTCTCTCTCTCCTCTCTGTCTCTCTCTCTCTCTCTCTCTCTCTCTCTCCTCTCTCTCTCTCTCTCTCTCTCTCTCTCTCTCTCTCTCTCTCTGTCTCTCTCTCCTCTCTCCCTCCTCTCTCTCTCTCTCTCTCCTCCTCTCTCTCTCTCTCTCTCTTCTCTCTCTCTCTCTCTCTCTCTCTCCTCTCTCTCTCTCTCTCTCTCTCTCTCCTCTCTCTCCTCTCTCTCTCTCCAGTCTTTCTCCCCCTAGCCTCTCCCACACTCCCTTTCTCCTCCCTCCCTATACCCTATTGCAACCCCTAAAACTCTCCTTGATGCTGCCCCCCCTCCCACCCCATATCCTACTCCCCCCTGCCCTGCCTCCCTCCCCCTTCCCCTCCCTACAGCACCCATCCTCACACAAACACCCACTCCGAAAATAAATAAGCTTTGTTCTGTGGTACAATGGGGCAATCAAGAACAAGGCTGAGGGCCAAGGGTCTGACTGACAAATCTGGGAAGGAGGATTGGGAGGCAGAGCTCAAAAAAGGGAGGAAGACTGGGAAAGGAAGCTAGAAGAGCTTGGAAGGAGAATGGAGGAGAGGTTAGCTGCAGAGAGCAGAAAGTGAGAGCAACGTGCCATAGTAGCAGAAGCTTAGAAATGGAGCTGAGAAATCTGAAACAGCCTAGAGAAAAACAATAACAATACAGACATAGCATCAGGAACATCTACATCAGACACAAAGGGACTGGGGGGGGGGAGCAAGGAAGCTATACTGTATGCAAAGCTCCTGTCAGACCCACAGGGGGCCATGACAGACAGGGAGCACGCTAGGATCAAATGAGAGGTTGGAAGACATTGAAGGAGCTAGGACATATGCAGGGACTCGACCAGACACTTGTAGGGGCCAGGAACAGATGAGCAGGAAAGACAGACCAATGAGCATAGGGACCTCAGCTAGGGAAGGGATTGAAGGAAGGAACGCTCCAAGGGAGCAGTGGGAGACACAGTGGAAAGAAGAAAGGGAGAGATCAGTTTTTGTATATGGGCTCCAGGAGTGGGTGTTTGTGTGAGGATGGGTGCTGTAGGGAGGGGAGAAGTGCCCTGCTCCTCTCTGTGAGAATTGCCAAGCTCCATTATCAGTCAGCCACATTCTGTTGGACTGCCCACTTTATCAACGAGCATGCAGAATTTACCTCCGTCGTCATCTTCGCTCTGCTGCTCTCTCTTTACCTTCCCTTCTCACTGATGGACCCACCTTTCATCCAGACTCTCTCATTGACTTTTTGACAACAACTGACTTACTTCACAAATTCTGATACCTTCAGCCCTTTCTACTTCAATCTCTTGCTACCCTCTACCCCCGTACTATCCCCTGCCCCGCTGTTTTCTGTAACCTACTGATCATCCCTCCTCCCTTCTGCCATCCAATACCCTCGCTTCCTTCCCTACCCTGCAGCGCTGTATAGCCCTTGTGGCTTAGCGCTTCTTTTTGATTATAATAATAATAATTTTCATTCCAGAAGTATGTTCAGGTGCCAGTACTGACCGAATTTGTTCCCATAAGGAATATTGTGAAGTAGGTTAGTCCATTTCAGACCCCCAAACATACACGTACAAATGCACTTACATAAATACACTTACATAATTGGTCGCATTGGGAGGGGATCGTTAAGCGGGGGTCCACTGTATTATTATTATTATTATTTTCTCAGTTGTTTGTTGGGTTATCTTATTCAAACTTGGGCAATGTATGATGGAAAGATACTTCTTCACGTACACCAAAAATGAAAGAAATCAGACCATAAATAGCGGAGTTCACTTCTCAGCCATTAGCGGCCGTTTAGCGGTATATTTTTGTATGGTTGTTATGGGTATATTCTCATTTTTTCGGTCTCATTTGATAGAATGAAAGATATATTACAGAAATAGATATGATTTTGATTGCTTTCATGACGAAAAGTACCTTGAAATTGCGCTCACAGTAGCGAAAATGTTCTATTCTTTAGCGAAGTTCAATACCTGTCTGCCTGCCAGTATAAATTCCAGTACAGAGTCAAGAATGGATTGACATTATTTATACAATTATTACAATAATGCAGCAGTCTGCATAACAGTAAATCTTCTATTTTTTTTTTTTTGTGAATAAAAATTCCAAATGAAAAGCAAGAGTAATATAGGAGGGGCCTGGAGCTGTGACTAATGAACAGATAAAATGTTATTTTAGTGCCAGGAATGTCTGCATTGTTTATTCTGGATCCTATTTTGAAATTGGCATCTGTTGAAATTTGTGTGAAATCAGCCAAATTGCCAATTTCTGACCACTTTATTGGGTGGTTGAAATAAGTGAATGGGTGGTTTCTTGTACTCAGTCGACAGACTAGAAGTAAATAAGTTTATTCAGGTAAACACAAATACAGTTACATAGATTATCATACATAGCAGCGTATGTATAGAGAACCTAGGATAACCCAGAAAAGTCAGACAAAGTGACTTATTTCCAGTACCTGGCTTGGGCTTGCCATATATGATTTTTGGTAAATTTTTTTTTTTCTCGGTTGTTTGTTGGGCTGTCTCACTGAAACTTGGGCAATGTATGATGGAAAGATGCTTCTTAACGTACAACAAAAATAAAAAAGAGATGATAAATAAGGGAATTAACTTCTCAGCCATTAGCCGCCTCTTTGCAGTATATTTTTGTATGGTTTTTATGGTTGTATTCTCATTTTTTTGGACTCATTTGATAGAATGGAAGATATATTACAGAAATAGACATGATTTTGATTGCTTTCATGATGAAAAGTACCTTGAAATTGAGCTCAAAGTAGAGGAAATCTTCGAATTTTGCCGATGTTCAATGAACTGAGTAAGTCAAGTTGGTTAATTTTATTAAGTGTATTCTAACCTAACCACTCTGTAATTCGGCAAACTCAGTAATCCGGCACACTACAGGTCCCAATGATGCCGGATTTGTGATGGAGGACCTGTATTGTATTTCCTTAACAGTTTTAAAGAACTTTTTTTTCCATATTGCTAAAGTAATAGACCATGCTTCTCTTGCTTACATTATACAGTGGAACCTTGGTTTTCATGATTAATTCGTTCCAGAAAGTCTGATGAAAATTGAATTGTACAAAAACTGAAGCAATATTTCCCATAAGAAATAATGTAAATCTAATTAAAATGTTCCAGACACCCAAAAATATTAACAAAAAAATACATTTTATAGAGAATATAGTTTTACATAAAGAAAACAATGAGAAATAAATACAAATTACTAATGAAATGGATAAACATTTAACATCACTTTTACCTTTATTGAAGTGTCTTGGCATATGGAAGACAGTGAGGAGGGGAGAGGGAGGAGGAGAGGTGGAGAGGTTATTGTTTGGAAGGGGAATCCCCCCCCATAAGGACTTCGGGTATCAAGGCCCTATCTGGGGTTACTTTCCTTCTTTGTCTTATACTGGCACTAGGACCAGCTTGAGAGTGACGGACGCCTGTCGCACAAAAAATCTGTCCAGAGGTGTCTGTTTCTGGTGTCTCTTTAAGATTTGCCTAAAATGTGACAAGGCATTGTCATTGAACATGCTGCAGACACAGCTTGCAACAGCTTTTGTACAATGCTATGACTTCTTTCTTGAATTCTTTTGTGCTTCTTGCCTTCTTTATCAAAGGGCTGGCACTCGGAGCTTTCTTTTGCCCCATGGTGGATTATTTAGCAGTCGCACTCAATAAACAAGCACAAAAAACAATGAGGGTACAGCCTCTCCTCACTTAACAACAGAGTTCCGTTCCCAAGACCATGTCGGTAAACGAATTCGTCGCTAAGTGAGGAGCATACTATAATGGTAGTGGGTTTGTGTCAACCATCTTTGATATTGTGATGAATGGTTTTGAAAACTGACAAGTTGAAGAATTCAGACACTTATGCAACATATGGGAATCTTTAGTTGAAGAAACGTTTCCCCACACAGTGGCTTCATCAGTCCAATACAAAGTAGAAATGGGTAAGGAGAGGAGGAGATTGAGGTAATCAGTCCCTCAGCTTGGAATCAATGTGTTCTGTCCATCACTCTTGTAGGAAGTGCAGCATAGAGCCAGAGAGGTGGCTTATATACTGCAGTCAGGTGAGTCGAAGCAGGAGGAGGTGGGATCACAGTGGGACCTTCCACTAGTATTAAGTAGGTCATTGTTCAAAGGTTGGACAAGTGTTGAAGAAGTCTTTGTCCCAAGATCCCTCTCTGGCCTGCAAGAGTGATGGACTAAACACATCTATTCCAAGCTGAAGGACTGATTACCTCAATCTCCTCCTCTCCTTACCCATTTCTACTCTGTATTGGACAGATGAAGCCACTGTGTGGTGAAACGTTTCTTCAATAAAGCTTCCCGTATGTTGTATATGTGTCTCAATTCTTCATTTTTGATATTGTTTTAATGTCACCTTTGCACCATTTATAGCATTTTTGGTATATTTTTAAATGCTCATACAGTAGTGTACTGTATATTGTAATAAACTGAAGAGAGGAAATGAGCTCTAACATGCATTTTTTAGGTATGCAAACTGGTCAGAGAGCCCGTCGTAAGTCCGAGTCATCTGTAAATGTGTGCGTTGCTAAGTGAGGAGAGGCCGTATTACGAAATGTTTTGGATGAACGTACAGGGTAGCGCTCACTTAGTGAGAAACAAAGTCAGACTGAGTCAGAATGCGTGGGATGCTTTGTGTAGGCATGGGCAAGCAGATGCATTTGGTACGGCGGACCATTGTCAACTCTACAAAAACTGAGTGGATGTACAAAAACTGGGACAAAATTTTGATGAAAAAGCAATTGAAAACCGAATTCTGTAAAACCAGGGCATACAAAAACTGATGTTCCACTGCATTCATTATTCATCTCAAAGAACTACATAGCCATTTGGTGTTTTATACAATAGATAAAATAATGTAAATGCTTTGTTTTGGAATGCCTGTCATTAAGAATGTTTTTGTGTGTGCAGGTGTGATGGCATCGGTCCGTGTGACGTCACTGGAGGTGCCAGTACATGCAGTTCGTTACTCCAACCAGACACTCACCTGTCAATATGACCTGGGCAACCGCAAACTCTACTCCATCAAGTGGTACCACAATATGGAAGAATTTTTCAGGTACTGGTAATGCTTAGCAATTTGCAGTTAACTTTATGCTCATAAACAATCCTAAATTATAGCAAGTGCTGAATATGTTTTTCTTTATGTTCCCTGCTAGCACTATTCCGTGTTTTTTTTTTTTTTCACTTAATAAACGGTACTGCTCTTAATAACTTATACTGATACTTGTATGGACTGATTACTTAAGGTTAATGTTGGAAATACTGTACAGTAGTCCCCTCAAATTTATGGGGGTTACGTTCCAAGACCACCCGCGAATTTGGAAAAACCACGAATTCTCGATGTGGTTAAAAATGCCTATAAATGCCTATTTTTATAGTTTAAACCCTAAATATGCCCCCAAAACACTTAAATTTCAAACTCAGCTTCATACATCACCCTTAAAAAAAAATGTGAAGATAAACCTGTACATAATACTGTACTGCTATGTCTCCCACAGTGCTAGAGTGTAAAATACTGATGTTACCCCTATATGTACTGTAATTCATGCAACCCTGTTTTCTTTGGTATACGTATGGTAAATTTACAGTAATAATTTAATTTAGTAAAAATAAAGTTAAATGTACGGGTTATTATTTATTTTTTATTATCACACTGGCTGATTCCCACCAAGGCAGGGTGGCCTGAAAAAGAAAAACTTTCACCATCATTCACTCCATCACTGTCTTGCCAGAAGGGTGCTTTACACTACAGTTTTTAAACTGCAACATTAACACCCCTCCTTCAGAGTGCAGGCACTGTACTTCCCATCTCCAGGACTCAAGTCCAGCCTGCCGGTTTCCCTGAACCCCTTCATAAATGTTACCCTGCTCACACTCCAACAGCACGTCAAGTATTAAAAACCATTTGTCTCCATTCACTCCTATCAAACACGCTCACGCATGCCTGCTGGAAGTCCAAGCCCCTCGCACACAAAACCTCCTTTACCCCCTCCCTCCAACCTTTCCTAGGCTGACCCCTACCCTGCCTTCCTTCCACTACAGACTGATACACTCTTGAAGTCACTCTGTTTCGCTCCATTCTCTCTACATGTCCGAACCACCTCAACAACCCTTCCTCAGCCCTCTGGACAACAGTTTTGGTAATCCCGCACCTCCTCCTAACTTCCAAACTACGAATTCTCTGCATTATATTCACACCACACATTGCCCTCAGACATGACATCTCCACTGCCTCCAGCCTTCTCCTCACTGCAACATTCATCACCCATGCTTCACACCCATATAAGAGCATTGGTAAAACTATACTCTCATACATTCCCCTCTTTGCCTCCAAGGACAAAGTTCTTTGTCTCCACAGACTCCTAAATGCACCACTCACCCTTTTCCCCTCATCAATTCTATGATTCACCTCATCTTTCATAGACCCATTCGCTGACGCATCCACTCCCAAATATCTGAATACATTCACCTCCTCCATACTCTCTCCCTCCAATCTGATATCCAATCTTTCATCACCTAATCTTTTTGTTATCCTCACAACCTTACTCTTTCCTGTATTCACTTTTAATTTTCTTCTTTTGCACACCCTACCAAATTCATCCACCAATCTCTGCAACTTCTCTTCAGAATCTCCCAAGAGCACAGTGTCATCAGCAAAGAGCAACTGTGACAACTCCCACTTTATGTGTGATTCTTTATCTTTTAACTCCACGCCTCTTGCCAAGACCCTCGCATTTACTTCTCTTACAACCCCATCTATAAATATATTAAACAACCACGGTGACATCACACATCCTTGTCTAATGCCTACTTTTACTGGGAAATAATTTCCCTCTTTCCTACATACTCTAACTTGAGCCTCACTATCCTCGTAAAAACTCTTCACTGCTTTCAGTAACCTACCTCCTACACCATACACCTGCAACCTCTGTCACATTGCCCCCCTATCCACCCTGTCATACGCCTTTTCCAAATCCATAAATGCCACAAAGACCTCTTTAGCCTTATCTAAATACTGTTCACTTATATGTTTCACTGTAAACACCTGGTCTACACACCCCCTACCTTTCCTAAAGCCTCCTTGTTAATCTGCTATCCTATTCTCCGTCTTACTCTTAATTCTTTCAATAATAACTCTACCATACACACTTTACCAGGTATACTCAACAGACTTATCCCCCTATAATTTTTGCACTCTCTTTTATCCACTTTGCCTTTATACAAAGGAACTATGCATGCTCTCTGCCAATCCCTAGGTACCTTACCCTCTTCCATACATTTATTAAATAATTGCACCAACCACTCCAAAACTATATCCCCACCTGCTTTTAACATTTCTATCTTTATCCCATCAATCCCGGCTGCCTTACCCCCTTTCATTTTACCTACTGCCTCACAAACTTCCCCCACACTCACAACTGGCTCTTCCTCACTCCTACAGGATGTTATTCCTCCTTGCCCTATACACGAAATCACAGCTTCCCTATCGTCATCAACATTTAACAATTCCTCAAAATATTCCCTCGATCTTCCCAATACCTCTAACTCTCCATTTAATAACTCTCCTCTCCTATTTTTAACTGAAAAATCCATTTGTTCTCTAGGCTTCCTTAACTTGTTAATCTCACTCCAAAACTTTTTCTTATTTTCAACAAAATTTGTTGATAACATCTCACCCACTCTCTCATTTGCTCTCTTTTTACATTGCTTCACCACTCTCTTAACCTCTCTCTTTTTCTCCATATACTCTTCCCTCCTTGCATCACTTCTACTTTGTAAAAACTTCTCATATGCTAACTTTTTTTCCCTTACTACTCTCTTTACATCATCATTCCACCAATTGCTCCTCTTTTCTCCCACACCCACTTTCCTGTAACCACAAACTTCTGCTGAACACTCTAACACTACATTTTTAAACCTACCCCATACCTCTTCGACCCCATTTCCTATGCTCTCATTAGCCCATCTATCCTCCAATAGCTGTTTATATCTTACCCTAACTGCCTCCTCTTTTAGTTTATAAACCTTCACCTCTCTCTTCCCTGATGCTTCTATTCTCCTTGTATCCCATCTACCTTTTACTCTCAGTGTAGCTACAACTAGAAGGTGATCTGATATATCTGTGGCCCCTCTATAAACATGTACATCCTGAAGTCTACTCAACAGTCTTTTATCTACCAATACATAATCCAACAAACTACTGTCATTTTGCCGTACATCATATCTTGTATACTTATTTATCCTCTTTTTCTTAAAATATGTATTACCTATAACTAAACCCCTTTCTATACAAAGTTCAATCAAAGGACTCCCATTATCATTTACACCTGGCACCCCAAACTTACCTACCACACCCTCTCTAAAAGCTTCTCCTACTTTAGCATTCAGATCCCCTACCACAATTACTCTCTCACTTGGTTCAAAGGCTCCTATACATTCACTTAACATCTCCCAAAATCTCTCTCTCTCCTCTACATTCCTCTCTTCTCCAGGTGCATACATGCTTATTATGACCCACTTTTCGCAACCAACCTTTACTTTAATCCACATAATTCTTGTATTTACACATTCATATTCTCTTTTCTCCTTCCATAACTGATCCTTCAACATTACTGCTACCCCTTCCTTTGCTCTAACTCTCTCAGATACTCCAGATTTAATCCCATTTATTTCCCCCCGCCGAAACTCCCCTACCCCCTTCAGCTTTGTTTCGCTTAGGGCCAGGACATCCAACTTCTTTTCCTTCATAACATCAGCAATCACCTGTTTCTTGTCATCCGCACTACATCCACGCACATTCAAGCATCCCAGTTTTATAAAGTTTTTCTTCTTCTCTTTTTTATGGTAAATGTCTACAGGAGAAGGGGTTACTAGCCCATTGCTCCCGGCATTTTAGTCGCCTCATACAACACGCATGGCTTACGGAGGAAAGATTCTTTTCCACTTCCCCATGGACAATAGAAGAAATAAAGAAGAACAAGAGCTATTTAGAAAAAGGAGAAAAACCTAGATGTATGAATATATATATGCATGTACGTGTCTGTGAAGTGTGACCAAAGTGTAAGTAGGAGTAGCAAGATATCCCTGTTATCTAGCGTGTTTATGAGACAGAAAAAGAAACCAGCAATACTACCATCATGCAAAACAGTTACAGGTTTCTGTTTCACAGTCATCTGGCAGGACGGTAGTACTTCCCTGGGTGGTTGCTGTCTACCAACCTACTACCTGAGACCAACCTACTACCTACTAAATTTACAGTAATAATTTAATTTAGTAAAAATAAAGTTAAATGTACGGGTATGCACCAATAATGAATGATACCAACTGAGAAGAAGTGAATCAACAATAAATGCAAGCAAGGGAAAATTATGTTCTAATTTGGTGACTAATTTTACAGGTTTTTCTCTCTATAGAGAGTCAGGTCTAGGAAATTGTTGATGTAGCAAAGAGATTGCCAGGTGAGGAATTTGAAGAATTGGAGCCAGAATATGTGAATGAAGTCTTAGAAGACTATGAGGAAGTAAGAACTGCAGATGAAATGCTGAAAGGAGCTCAGTTCCCAAATAGAAAGGAGATGGATAATGACAGAGCATAAGAAGAGCCTGCAGACAAATAGTTAATATTGCAACAGTTACATGAGCACTTCCATGCTATTGGTAAAATTGCAAACTTTTTCACTAAAGAGGACCCTGACACATATAGAAGCACTTTTCTGAAGTGGGGTCTTGAATAGCTGATGATGCCTTACCATCAGCTTTATAAAATACTTCAGGGGTAAAACAGATATGCAGTACAGAATACCCCAGCAATCCAGTACAAGTATCATCTAATGATAGCTCTGCATTGATATTATTCTAAGAACTTCAGCTATCCACCTTGGCTCACTAGAACCAAGCTATCTTTCTCAATGCCTTTCAAGAGCATCAACATGCATCAACAACCAGAATTTAAAATAAGAAACAACTGTTTAATATAATGTTTTAAACACATTCTGGCCACAAAATAGAGCGAAACACCAACGTCAAAGACCTGGGAGTGATCATGTCAGAGGATCTCACCTTCAAGGACCATAACATTGTATCAGTCGCATCTGCTAGAAAAATGACAGGATGGATAATGAGAACCTTCAAAACTAGGGAGGCCAAGCCCATGATGACACTCTTCAGGTCACTTGTTCTATCTAGGCTGGGATATTGCTGCACACTAACAGCACCTTTCAAGGCAGGTGAAATTGTTGCTGACCTAGAAAATGTACAGAGAACCTTCACGGTGCGCATAACGGAGATAAAACACCTCAATTACTGGGAGCGCTTGAGGTTCCTAAACCTGTATTCGCTGGAATGCAGGTGGGAGAGATACATGATTATATACACCTGGAAAATCCTAGAGGGACTAGTACCGAACTTGCACACGAAAATCACTCACTACGAAAGCAAAAGACTTGGCAGACGATGCAACATCCCCCCAATGAAAAGCAGGGGTGTCACTAGCACGTTAAGAGACAATACAATAAGTGTCGGGCCCGAGACTGTTCAACTGCCTCCCAGCATACATAAGGGGGATTACCAACAAACCCCTGGCAGTCTTCAAGCTGGCACTGGACAAGCACCTAAAGTCGGTTCCTGACCAGCCGGGCTGTGGCTCGTACGTTGGTTTGCGTGCAGCCAGCAGCAACAGCCTGGTTGATCAGGCTCTAATCCACCAGGAGGCCTGGTCACAGACCGGGCCGCGGGGGCGTTGACCCCCGGAACTCTCTCCAGGTAAACTCCAGGTAATATGTTTTGTATTGTATTTTAGTGTACTTGTAGTTCAGTGATGTACACCTCATCTGACTATAATTATATTATTAGTTTTTTTGGGGGAGGGGGTTGATTTTGAAGGTACAATATATAAAATGTAACTATATTTTCCATACATTCTTCAATGAAGTTAACACTATTTTGACTAACATACTGTTTTTGGGAACATAACTGCTGTATTAATCAGTGGTCAGTTGTGTTATTATGAGTCATGTAAAACTTGTTGATGGTTAACCCTTAAATGGTCCAAACGTATATATACGTTTTCTCGCATAGCGCAATGAATTTTTTGAGAAAAAAAATTTTTTTTTTTTTTTTAATAGAAAAAAGAGCATATGGAACCCAGGCATCCCCAATTTTTTTCATATGGTGCACAGTGAGTGTGCACACCCATTCTCTCATGTCTAGGCGACTCAGGCTTATCGTGGCAATGTTGAATGAATGACAAAGAAAACGTATATATACGTTTGGGGCGCTACGCAAGAGAACGTATATATACTTTTGGACAGTTTAAGGGTTAAAATATTATTAAGAATAAATAGTAATGTACAGTGTACCCCCGGTTAATGATATTTTTTCACTCCAGAAGTATGTTCAGGTGCCAGTACTGACTGAATTTGTTCCCATAAGGAATATTGTGAAGTAGATTAGTCCATTTCAGACCCCCAAACATACACGTACAAACGCACTTACATAAATACACTTACATAATTGGTCGCATTCGGAGGTAATCGTTATGCGGGGGTCCACTGTATATTGCAGGTGTTCATTTAATGTATAAAGCAAGTGGAAATGGTAATAAAGGTATTTTCCCTCAGGTACATGCCAGAAGAGAGCCCATCCATGGAAATGTTCAACAACTCCAATGTTAAAGTTATCGTAAGTAGTCCAGTTAAATCTTGTTAACTGTATTCACACTTACTACTGTGTATACTTATACAGAACACTCAATGTAAAAATTAACCCAATGCTCAGACTCTTCTTGGAGAGCTGCAGCAGAACATATACATAACACAAGAAACAAGTATCTCTTTGATATATCTGTTTGATTCAACCTACAGGAGGACCTCTCTTATACAGCAGGTTAGGTTCCAGGCAACTGCTATAAAGTGAAAATTACTGTAAAGTGAAACAACCTTTTTTCACTTTCAGATGCATAAAAAAGCCTGATGTTTACACTGTACTCACCTAATTGTGGTTGCAGGGGTCGAGACTCAGCTCCTGGCCCCACCTCTTCACTGAGTGCTACTAGGTCCTCTCTCTCCCTGCTCCATGAGCTTTATCATACCTTGTCTTAAAGCTATGTATGGTTCCTGCCTCCACTACCTCACTTGCTAGGCTATTGCACTTCCTGACTACTCTATGACTGAAGAAATACTTCCTAACATCCCTTTGACTCATCTGGGTCTTCAATTTCCAATTGTCACCCCTTGTTTCTGTGTCCCATCTCTGAAACATCCTGTCTCTGTCCACCTTGTCTATTCCATGCAGTATTTTGTATGTCGTTACCATGTCTCCCATAACCCTCCTGTCCTCCAGTGTCATCAGTCCGATTTCCCTTAACCTTTCTTCATAGAACATTCCCCTTAGCTCTGGAACTAACCTTGTCACAAACCTTTGCACTTTCTCTAATTTCTTGATGTGCTTGATCAAGTATAAGTTCCAAGCAGGTGCTGCATACTCCAGTATGGGCCTGACGTACACGGTGTACAGTGTCTTGAACAATTCCTTACTAAGGTATCGGATCGCTGTTCTCAGGTTTGCCAGGCGCCCATATGCTGCAGCAGTTATCTGGTTGATGTGTACTTCCGGAGACATGCTCGGTGTTATACTCACCCCAAGATCTCTCTAATTGAGCGAGGTTTGCAGTCTTTGGCCACCTAGCCTATACTCCATCTGCGGTCTTCTTTGCCCTTCCCCGATCTTCATGACTTTGCACTTGGCGGGGTTAAATTTGAGAAGCCAGTTGCTGGACCAGGTGTCCAGCCTGTTCAGGTCTCTCTCAAGTCCTGCCTGATCGTCATCTGATTTAATTCTCCTCATTAACTTTACATCATCTGCAAACAGGGACACTTCTGAGTCTAACCCTTCCATCATGTCATTCACATATACCAAAAATAGCACTGGTCCTAGGACCGACCCGTGGGACCCCGCTCGTTACAGGTGCCCACTGTGATACCTCATCACGTACCATGACTTGTTGTTGCCTCCATGTCAGGTATTCTCTGAGCCATTGCAGTGCCCTTTATGTTATATGCACCTGATCCTCCAGCTTCTACACTAATCTCTTGTGAGGAACTGTCAAAGGCCTTCTTGCAGTCCAAGAAGATGCAGTCAACCCACCCCTCCCTCTCGTGCCTTACTTCTGTTACTTTATCATAAAACTCCAGAAGGTTTGTGACACAGGATTTGCCTTCCATAAATCCGTGCTGGTTGACGTTTATACTCTTGTTCCGTTCCAGGTACTCCACCACTCTCCTGATAATCGTCTCCATGACTTTGCATACTATACACATCAATGACACTGGTCTGTAGTTTACTGCCTCTTTTCTGTCTCCTTTTTTAAAAATGAGAACTACATTTGCCATCTTCCATACCTCAGGTAGTTGCCCAGTTTCAAGGGATGTGTTGAAGATTGTGGTTAGTGGCATACACAGCATTTCTGCTCCCTCTCTAAGGACCCACGGGGAGATGTTGTCCGGTCCCATTGCCTTTGAGGTATCATTGTCCCTTAGCAGCTTCTTCTCTTCTTCCTCAGTTGTATGTATATCATCCAACACTTGTTGGTATATTCCTTGCTGGTGTCCCCCTCTGTTCTGTCCTCCCAGAGGCCTTTCTGTCTTCACTGTAAATACTTCCTTAAATCTCATGTTGAGCTTCTCACATACCTCTTGATCGTTTCTTGTGAGTTCCCCACCTTCTTTCCTCAGCCTGAACACCTGGTCTTTGACTGTTGTCTTCCTCCTAATGTGGCTATACAGCAGTTTTGGGTCAGACTTGACTTTTGATGCTATGTTGTTTTTGTACTGTCGCTGGGCCTCCCTCCTTATCTTTGCACATTCGTTTCTGGCTCTTTGACTAATCTCTTTATTTTCCTGGGTCCTTTGCCTCCTGTACCTTTTCCATTCTCTGGTGCACTTAGTTTTTGCCTCCCTACACCTTCGGGTAAACCAAGGACTCGCTTTGGTCTTCCCATTATTTCTATTGCCCTTGGGAAGAAACCTTTCCTCTGCCTCCTTGCATTTTGTTGTTACATATTCTATCATCTCGTCTATTTACTTTCCTACCAGTTCTCTGTCCCACTGAATCTCCTGCAGGAAGTTCCTCATACCTGTGTAGTCATATACAGTGGACCCCCGGTTAACGATTTTAATCCGTGCAAGAGGGGTAATCGTTATGCGAAATAATCGTTATGTGAATGAATTTTCCCCATAAGAAATAATGGAAATAAAATTAATCCGTGCAAGACACCCAAAAGTATGAAAAAAAAATTTTTTTACCACATGAAATGTTAATTTTAATACACACAAACTGAAAAAGGCATGCACACTTACATGACACTTACTTTTATTGAAGATCTGGTGATGATTGATGGGATGGGAGGAGGGGAGAGCATTATCTTCTTACTGTTTAGAAGGGGAATCCCCTTCCATTAGGACTTGAGGTAGCAAGTCCTTTTCCGGGGTTACTTCCCTTCTTCTTTTAATGCCACTAGGACCAGCTTGAGAGTCACTGGACCTCTGTCGCACAACAAATCTGTCCATAGAGCTCTGTACCTCCCGTTCCTTTACGATTTGTCTAAAATGGCCACAACATTGTCATTGAAATAGTCACCAGCACGGCTTGCAACAGCTGTGTCAGGGTGATTTTCATCCATAAAGGTTTGCAGTTCAACCCACTGTGCACACATTTCCTTAATTTTTGAAGTAGGCACAATGGATTCCACAACTGGCATAGGCTTCTCAGGGTTAGCCCCAAACCCTTCAAAATCTTTCTTAATTTCCATACTAATTCTCACCCTTTTTACCACAGGGTTGGCACTAGAAGCTTTCTTGGGGCCCATGGTCACTTATTTTCCAGAAACAGCACCGAAAACACTGTAATAATACGAAATATTCCGATTGTATGCTTGGATGTTATTGCGGAGGCTGGCTGGTAAACAATGCCACCGGCGGAACATGTGAGCGTGGCTCAGGCCGCACATTGGAAGCGTCTCGGACGAAAATCGGTAAGCGGGTTTTTAAGCGGTATGCGAGGCAAAATTTTTGCAATTAAAGTAAGCGGTATGCGAAATAATCGCTATGTGATGCCATCGTTATGCGGGGGTCCACTGTATTAATTGAGCAATAGAGCTAGGCCTAAAAAATGCATACTCATTTCACATTTTACTTACCTTAAAATATTTCAAGGGTCCTCATGGCACAATGAAAAGCATGCTGGAATTCTAATCTAGAGGTTTTGGGTTTGACTCCCACTGGGGACAGCAGGATGCCATGGGTTGCATTATTATAAGTGAGGATAGCAACAGTGGCGGCTAACTCCATACATGGTCTCAGAAATACACTTCACATGATCTGTGTGGTAAATAAGCCATCACAATAACAGGGGAAACAATAGCTGGTGCTCAGTCCCCCCTGACCACCACGGAACATTCAGTGCTGTTCTGAGAATGCAATAATTCCGGAACTGTATCAACATAAGATCAAATATTTCCTTTTAAAGTCAATACCTGACCAACTGGGCTGTGGTTTGCATGTCAGGTATTAGCATAGAGTGAGTGGTGAATATATATTTTATAGGAAGTCTGAGTAAATGAATGAGTATAGTTGAAAATAGATGTATTAATGAAAAGCCATTAAAGTTGATTGCTGTAGAGTGGGCCTGCCTGTATTTAGAAGCTCCATACAGATAAAAGCCCCTAATAAATAGGACTCTTGTATTATTGTGACAAAAAATTATTACAGTACAGCCTCTCCTCACTTTACGACCGAGTTCTGTTCCTAAGATCATGTCGGTAAACGAATTCATCACTAAGTGAGGAGCATACTGTAATGGTAGTGGGTTTGTATCAACCATCTTTAATATTGTTTTAATGTCATCTTTGCACTATTTATAACATTTCTGACATATTCTTAAATGCTTATAAAGTAATGTACTGTATATTGTATATTGCTCTAATATACATTATTTAGGTATGTATACTGGTCAGAGAGCTGTAGTAAGTCCAAGGCACCGTTAAACGAGTACGTCGCTAAGTGAGGAGAGGCTGTATAACTAAAACTGGCATAGATTTAAGGATGTAATGTGCAGCAAAAGTTTGTGGTTATATGAGGGTGGGTACAAGAGGAAAAAAGGAGATGTGATAAAAGGAGGTGTAATATATGTAGGGTAAAAGTATTATCTAGAGGGCTGAAGAGGGGTTGTTGAGATGGTTCAGACATTTAGAGAGGATGGAACAAAATAGAATTACTTGCAGAGTGTTTAAATCTGTAGTAGAAGGAAGACAGAGTATGGGCCATCCTAGGAAAGATTGGAAGGAGAGAGTAAAGGAGGTTTTGTGTATGAGGGCCTTAGACTTCCAGCAAGCATGTGTGAGCATGTTAGATGGGAGTGAGTGAAGGCAAGTGGTTTTTATGACTTTATATGCTGTTGAAGTGTGAGCAAAATAACATTTATGAAGGGATTCAGAGAAACCAGTTAGACAGACTTGAGTCCTGGACAGAGGCATTGCTAGAGTTGGTGTCACCTGGGGTGGAATATCTGGTGTCACCCGGGACAGCATGAAATTTAAGGGCGGGGGGATGGGGGGGTAAACTCCAGTTATGTCACTGCTGCATGACCAGTGACTAATGTTTAGCAATAAGAATGTTTAAGGGCCA